CCGAGCCATTCCCGGGCACGGGGTACCAAAGACGAGGCGACCCGAGGATGGGCCGGGATTATTACAGGCCTCGTGAGGAGCGACCACCACCAAAATTTAAACACACGGTCCATCGATCCTCAATCAACATCGCCGAGAGGCTCGATGGGTGCGTGATGTTAATGAAGGTAGAGTTCACCACCATCTACGTGCAGATACCCCAGTCTCGAGGGGCGCAGCCAAACGTGGAGGAGCCACAAACCCCCTCGACGCCGCCAGCGATGCCAGTGCCGAAGGAATGCGCCGCCCTCCAGTCGCCGGACGAGGAAGAGGAGACGCGAGAGGTCCAGTCGCCGGACGAAGAAGAGGAGACGCGAGAGGTCCAGTCGCCGGAGGGAGAAAGGAGACAGTGGGGAGCGGAGTCCTCTGAAGACCAATCCCCGTCGCGGGGACAGGGTGACGGCCGGGAGCGCAGTCCTTTCGCCGCACCACTCGACCCGGAGACCGCGGCGCGGGACGAAGGGCGACGGTCCCCATCATGGTGGACGCGGCGAGGCGAGAGGAGGAAGGCGCGAGCCGCACCTCTCGAATCGGAATCCAGCGACGAGGAGAGCGAATCGAGCCCCCCACTCCGACGCCGTTGCTGGCGGAGTCCGTCGAAGAGCCCGGCCAGAAAGATCCCGAGGGTCGATTTGGCGGGTGTGGCGGCGAAGTTGCGCCAAACGGGAGGGAATCACCAAACAACCCCCTTTGAGCCAGATCAGGGTATCCCTGAAGAAGGAGAACGAGCCCGGGGCCCGGAACAAGGCAGACACGAGCCACAAGAAGAGCCGTGCGTGGTGCCAGAGCTGGAGGAGGATGAGGCCAGACTGCTGGCCGACATGGCCGACATTCTGGATGGGTGGGAGCCGAACTTGTTCGAAATCCTCATGGGGGAGGGCTCCATCCCTTTCAAGCCAACACCGACCATCCCAGACGGCTGGCGGATCCGTCCAGCAGGCGCGACGCTAGACGAACACACAATCCAGGTGGTGCAACGGGAGTTGCAGAGGCGAAGGCTACCGCGTAGGAGGACACGTTTCCGCATCTGGATCGAAGGGAGCGCAATAAACGTGACGGTCGCACCTTCGGGAAGCGTGACCATCGCTCTACAAAGTAAGGGAGGTGTGTAAGGCGGCTCGATGAGCCACCTCACATAAGTCGTTTTCAAATGCCCGCGCAAGTCGCAGCGATCGGCAATGCAACCATGGTTTCGACTTTCGCGGCGAAAAGTTCAAAGGGCCCGAAGCTGTGGTGAGTTGCATTGCCGACGCCGAAGCGGAGCGCGCGGCCGAGGTGTGGAGGCGGCTGGAGAGCGATAGAAGTTTTAATTAGTGAGTGACAGCGAGACTGAAAGTTAGTGAGTGACAGCGAGACTGAAGGCTAGTGGGTGAGCGCGACCATAGTTAATAGCGAGATTAAGAAATTAAGAGAGTTGTGAAATAAAGAGATTGTGAAGAAGTGAATCTGTGTGTGTTTTATTTCTATCCGGCAACTAATAACTAACTAATGGTGCTAGTAGATCCCATTTCCCCCCTTCCCTCCTCGTTGCATATTTCGTCATTTGGCCGAGGCGCATCCCGGCATTAAGTAGTTAAAGTAGAGAACGCGGCTATGCCCGTTCGCTGAGAGGCCAAACCCTCAGCATTGCCCCCGTTGTTCCCTATGCCCCCCCTCTCCGAATTCCGATCACAGCGAATCACAAATTTTCTTGTGGTATCCACCCTGGGTAAACTGACGCTGCCCCAGCTGGAAAATTGGATCCTTACACATGGCATCATTGCATTCAAATTACATACATATATAATTTATACAATTTTGACTTTTAATAATATATATTTGTATCCATATATTGGATACCGGCTTCAAGCTAGCAGCACATCAGCGCGATTTCCTATACATTTGCACACACTCATCGTCTCTTCTATGCGTACAGACAGAAGCGCGCCTTTTCTCACATTCTTTGAATTTCGATGGATTTCTGGACTTTCTAGCCGTTACTGTAGTTTTGTCTGATGACGCTCTCTTATTAAGCTGTTGTATTTTAGCAACTGTCTGGTCAAGTAAAGCAGTGGTGCGGGTGCTAAAGGCGACGCAAGTAATGTTACAGCAGGAGGTTCGAGCCTCTTCGGTGCTATTATTATTTTTATACCCTGAACCCATTTTCAATGGGAAATCAGGGTATAATGGTTTTGTTAAAATGTATGTAACAGGCAGAAGGAGGCGTGACAGACCCCACAAAGTATATATATTCTTGATCAGGGCGACGAGCTGAGTTGATTTGGCCCTGTCCGTCTGTCTGTCCGTCCGTCTGTCCGTATGTATGAACGCGTCGATTTCAGAAGATATAAGAGCTAGAGACTTCAAATTTTTTTTCAAATGTCCGTAATTACAGCGCGCATATCAAGTTTATCATTAAAAATCGATAACTCATCCCGATCTTTTTATCGATAAAAAACCTTATCGAAAACCAGTTATAAAATTATATCTCCTACACCTTTATTGTTAGTCTCCAAATTTTTTATGTATACTTATATGCAATTTCGGTTTTTGTCAAAATTTTCCCCCTACCACCATATCCACCCCCTCACCATCACTTTTGTAAAAATCGTATTTCAAAAATTTCAAAAAAAACGCATATCCATGTTGTAATCATAATCTGAAAGTTTCATGAAGATCGTATGTCCACAAAAAAAGTTATTAAACAATTAAGTTCTCATAGTAAGCGCACACTGCAGCCCGTGCGTGTTTATGCGTGGGTGCTTGTGTGTGTATGTGTTTGTGTATGTGTGTGTGTGTGTATTCGTTTGTGTGTGTATGCGTGTGTGTGTGTATGTGTGTATGCGTGTGTGTGTATGTATGCCTGTGTGTGCGTGCGTGCGTGTGTGTGTGTGTGTGCGTATTTCTTGTGTAAGCTGTAAGGACGAGAAAAATTATTGAAATAGCTATTGCTCCAAGGGTTCAGGGGATCTCGTAGTCGAGCAGTCTCGACTATAGCTTTCTTACTTGCTTTTTTTTTCATATATATTTCGGTTTTTATAAAATAGAAATTTTTTGGGAAGGTGCGAGCTTGAATGAATGGCACTTAATACTCTTCTTTTTCTTAGTCGAATAATTTTATAAGTTTAAATTTGTTTCTTCTTAAATAGCCCTCAAAAACATATACGCAAATACATACATACATATGTATATATGTTAGTCTGCACGCATAGCATCAAGCATTCCTGCCTTATACACGCGCTCATTTGTATGTGTGTATGTATGTACACATAATTGCGTACTCTAGCATATTCTAAGAATCTCGCTGCGATTGATTTGTCTTTGCATTGTTTTTGAATTTCCAGCCGCTACACTGGATTTTCTTTGCTATGTGGCGTCATAACAATAATGTGATTTCGGTTTAACTACTGTTGCTCGAAACGACGCTGTGGTGCTGTAGGCAGAAGCGCCGGCGATCTTTATTGGGTGCTTGGCTTGGGTGCGAGTTCAAATCCCGCGGAAAACTCGTTTTTGTAAATTGCAAATTTTTGTTATTTGAGCTTTTTTATATTTTATTAATTTTATAAAAATGTTTCCTTCCGTGCTATCAATGCCTATTAAGCCTATTTATGTGTACAAATACATAAATAGATGGCTGACGCATATAAATTCCGCGATTCGAGCACTATAAATGACAATTGCCACGCCCCTAGTGGCCGTAGACTCCTCATTTTTGGCCAGTTCTCTGAACGAGCTACCGGTAACCTAAATGCAAAATTTCAAATCTTACGCTCAACAAATGTGAAAATTACAGGGTATTTTTCGATATGCCACGATTTTTCGTGTCTATCTCCGATTTATAAGTTTTAAAATTTTCCCGATCCGCCCACTAGGGGCGAGGCAAATCGGAAAATGCATTTTCCGATATGCCCGAAATCATATTAATTGAAGAGCTAGAAAGCTAAAATTTGGTATGTAGGTCCACGCCGACCACCCAAGATCACGAGCTATGGCGGATATGTCTCAGCCCATTGGGGCGTGGCAATTCGGATAAAACTTTATCTCCTAAAGTTGTGAACCTATAATGCTGAAATTTTGCACGTAAGCTGATATTTTGATTCTATAAAGATGGGTGAAAAAAGGCACTATTGATGCTAGAGAAATTTGGTATATATACGCGGGTTGACCACCCAAGTCCAAAGAGTTTTGGTAGATAGATGTCCGCCCACAGGGGATGTGGCAAACCGCAAAAATGTATATCTCCTAAAGTATAATAGCTAGAAGCTTCAAATTTAGATAGTTAAGTTACTAGTAACCTCTTCTATCGATGATCCAAAAATAGTTTTTGCGCCTCTTTAGGGTCGTGGCATATCGAAAAATACCCTGTAATTTTCACATCTTTTTAGCGTAAGCATTCAAATTTGGCAGCTAGGGTACCGTTATCTCGTTCTAAGCACTCACTAAAAATGAGGCTTCTACGCCCAGTAGGGGCGTGGCAAATTGGGGAAAACTGCATTTTCTACAGTATCGGAGCGAAACTTTGCTACTAAATTGCTGATGGGATGTGAATGAGTATTTCGCAGTTGGTAACGCCCGACTGCAACGTTCTTACTTGTTTTCGATATAGTTTTTATCTTTAAAAAATATCGGGATACGTTATCGATTTTTATTGATAAACTCGATATCCACGCTGCATATACGAACATAAAAAAAATTTCAAGTCTCTAGCTCTTATATCTTCTGAGATCGACGCGTTCAAACATACGGACAGACGGACGGACGGACAGACGGACAGAGCTTAATCGACTCAGCTCGTCACGCTGATCAAGAATATATATACTTTATGGGGTCTGCCACGCCTCCTTCTGCCTGTTAAATACATTTCACTATCACACTCAAGTGTATTATTGGAAGTAATTAACCAGCTTAAGGTATCTTTCACGAATTCCAACAAAATAAAGTATATTATTGAAATGAAAATGGTAGCATACCGGGCTACTCACCATCGACGATATGCACCCGTACCGACGTCGGATTGGCATTTGATGGTGTACATGTATAAAGGCCTGAATCCTGCTGAATAGCCTTCTGTACTAGAAGCCGACTAGTGGTCAGAATACCTTTCTCGGTCACTAATGATATCCCACCGCGAGGTGAATCAAAATTTATAATCTGAAAAATATAAAAATAGCTATGATTAGGTACTACAAAATTAACACGTAAGAATGTTCTAGTCGAGACTGCTCGACTAGGAGATACCCTGAACCCTCAAAACGGATATTCTAATCATTCTACACTTATTTTATACACACACATACATACACATGCAGTAAGCCGTGACTACGTTTCAGCTGCACGGTCTCTACTATTTGAAATAAGTTTTTTTATAAATTGGTGGCGAAAAGGGCGTGGTATCCAAAATCTGCAAATTAAGAAATCTTTGTATTCATCTAATGGATATACACAGTAAGTCTAAAGTCCCTAGGTGTATTAGTATTGAAATAAGGCTGAAAAACGAAATCAATTTGCTCTAGTCGAGAGTGTTCGACTGCTAGATCCCTGAATCTTTTGAGGAAGTAATACACTGATTTCACATTTCTAATGCTGTAGATGTTTATAACATATTTGATATTTGCGTGTTTTACAGGGAATCGCTATTATTACCAGAATTTTTATACCCTGAACCCATTGAAAATGGGACCCCATAATGTATATATATTCTTGATCAGGGCGACGAGCTGAGTAGATTTGGCCCGTCCATCTGTCCATATGTATGAACGCGTCGATTTCAATTTTTATACTTATTCACGAAAGTGAGTTAGTATATTGGTTTTGTGCAATGTCCGTCTTGCTGTCCGTCCGTCCGTCTGTCCGTATGAACGCAACCTATTTCGGCGCTATTGAAGCTAGAGACTTGAAATTTGAAACACATACTCGTGTATATCTCAGATTTATAAAGTGTTGAAATTTTCCCGATCCGCCCACTAGGGGCTTGGCAAATTCGGAAAATGCATTTTCCGATATACCAGAAATCATGTTTGTTGAAGAGCTAGAAAGCTGAAATTTGGTATGTACGTTTGCGTCGACCACTTAAGATCACGAGCTATGGCGGATATATCTCCGCCCATTGGAGGTGTGGCAAATCGGATAAAACTGTATCTTCAAGAGTTTTACAGCTAGAGCGCTGAAATTTTGCACGTCAGCTAATGTCATGATTCTATAAAGTCTGAAGAAGAAAAATTATAAGTCTACGCCCATTAGGGGCGTGGCAAATTGGACTTGAAGATATAGTGATTTTTTATATTCTGCTATATTTTGGACACTATTGATGCCAGAGACCTCAAATTTTGTATATATACTCGGGCTGATCACCCAAGACCAAAAAGCTTTGTCGGATATATGTCCGCCCACAGGGGGCGTGGCAAACTGCAAAAGTTTATATCTCCTAAAGTATAATAGCCAGGCGCGTATACAGGGGAGGGTTTCGGGGGTTCGCTAAGTTGCCACACTAAGTCAATCAGCTGACTACAGCTGATCGTAGTGTGGGCTGTAGGCAGTGTGCCCAATCCGTCTTGAAATAAATTTGTCTGTTTTGAGCGAGGGCCGTTTATTTTGACTCGGCTGCAATATTATGAATGGAAATTCTTACGACAAATTCTTGAACTTCCGTAATATATTACAGCATTTTGAAAATTGATGTTGTTTTCCATTCCACCATGACCAGCGTTCTTACCACCGATCAGTGAATGATATTTATTTTTCTGTGATTTAACCAATTGAGTGTAAACACTAAAAAGCGTGTAAACTTAAATATAGTGAGTAAACACTAAAAAGATCACATACACAAGAATGGACATTCGTCAATTTTTCGTTAAAAGACCTAGGTTAGAAAATCAGGAGGTAAGTAAAAATTGTCATATCGAATTCTACAAGTTGGAATATCAAGTGAATCATCATGTTTTGGATTTCCTCAAACTTACGGTTATAAAGTAAAAATATATTACATTTCATTTAGGACATTTAGCGACAAAACACGTTCATTGATGCATTGAATCATTGTTGCGAGTGTTTTTACCCCACGGTTCATCGGTATTTGCAAATTGCTGCGACGCTTCCAGTCTCTGTTGCTCCGAGCGAACGCTCTTTTTCTTCACTAAGGAGGCTGAAAACGTACCTAAGAAGTACAATGGGTCAAGAGAGGGTAAACGGACTAGCTTTGCTCAACATCCACTCTAAAATTGAAGTCACTCCAGAGGATATTTTGAACGAAATGGCGAAAACAAGTCGGAAAATAGACATTCTTTTGTAGAAAAAAATTTGAAATAAGGGTCATCCATTATATTATTAAGTACGAATATGTGTATTTAATATTTGCTGCAGTTAGTGTACCGTTATCACGTTCTAGGAACTAACCAAAAATGAGGTGTCTACGCCCAGTAGGGGCGTGGCAAATCGGGAAAACCTGGATTTTCTACAGCATTCGACCGAAACTTAACTACTAAATTGTTGATGAGTGATGTGAATAAGTATTCCGCAACCGGTAACGCCCGACTGCAACGTTCTTACTTGTTTAAAAATATGTCTGTGTATACCGCGTGGATATCGAGCTTTGCTTTAAAAATCGATAACTATTCCGGATATTTTTCTATCGATAAAAAACCTTATATCTCCTACATCTTTAAAGATAGAGTTTTCTAATTTTAAAATGTATACTTATATGCATTTTATACAATTTCGGCTTTTGTTAAAATTTACCCCTAACCCACATATTTGTAAAAGGCGTATTTCAAATACTAGAGAGATACTGCTTTGTCAAATATATTCATGTCTATGGGATAATTATTATCTGACAGTTTCATGAAGAAAGTACATCCATAAGAAAAGTTATTAGGCAATTAAATTCTCATAGTAAGCGAACAGTGCAGCCCATAAGTGTTTATGCGTGGGTGCTTGTGTGTGTGTTGCTCGTGCTTGTGGTGTACGGGTTTGATTAAGTTGCAACTCTCTCGACGAGAGCGTCGTATCACTAACCAGAGAACACATAGACCGGACACGTAGTGTAAAGCGTTTTGCACAATTTTTTTCGAGCGTTAACACCCCTGACAACTTCGTATTCGCTCGGCTCCTCACTTTTAGGTTTGGGTTACTAAAATATACGAAAGCACAATCATTTCGCTTCATGCGCTCGACCGAGATAGTCAAATGTTGAACAAAAGATCCCTCTATGCTCAATGTTTCCCTTGCTCTCTCTCTCTCTCTCGATGCTCTCTGCTCTCTCAAATGTGTATATGTATGTATGCATATGAGGCTCACATTGTGAGCACAAGCAGCAGCTCACGAAAATTGAAATTTCTTCGCAGCAAGAACCAATGTCTTCCCTTCTGTGTCTTCTTTTTCTTTTCAAACCGTTTGCCAAGCTCCTACAAAATATTTGCGTTTTCGTTATTATTTGTGGGAAGGGTATGAAAGCGTTGGTGCTCATTAGAGCTGGAGAACCATCGATAGAGACGGTACTCGATGGTTTTTCCAACGATGGTTCAAACCATCGATACTATCGATGGTTCCATCGAAAATTTTGGCAGTATTTCACCAGAATACGCAACGACGAGGTGAAGTGCACGATTTGCTTCAAAACTCTTAAATCATCAGGAAACACCTCAAACATGCATAAGCATATAAAGAGCCACCCCGAAGTGAGGTAAGTAAATATTGTCATAAATATATATGTATTTAAATTTATAAAATTATGTTATGCTCCATATATTTTAGTGCAAAAGAAACTGAAAAAAAAAATCAACTTTTACAAGAGATCTTGATCTAATAAGTTCAAGTCATAAAACTGAGCCGCATAAGTATATGTATTTTGAGACCACTAGAGAATTTTACCGATGGTGAATACCCTGAAGAACCAGATTAATAATGTGGATGTAGATGCGGACGACGGTGGTATGGCAGTCATACATGCCGTAAGGAAGGAAATAATTAAACAATTGGAACGCCGATTCGGATCCATCGAAGAAAACCACCTAATTGCGATAGTTTATTTACTGGATCCAAGATTCAAAAATAGCCCTTTTAAAGCTTGTACGAAAGCAATTAATTTGCTAAGAAAATTTATATTATCCAGCCCTAATTCTCTCTCCAGTGAGAATGAGAGTGATACTTCTATAGACTCAGCAAACAATCTTTGGAGTGATTATAAGAAGTGGACGCACGCAGGGAAGCAGACCAAAAAAACAAGATCTACAATGAACGATGACGAAGTAGGTCGCTACCTATCTACCCATGTTTTACCACTTTCCATCGACCCTTTAAAACAATGGGGTGAAAGTAGTTTATCCCAAACTATACTACTTAGCTCAAAAGTATTTGGGAATTCCCGAGACGTCCGTGCCCTCTGAGCGCCTTTTCTCCAAAGCTGGAAGTACCATAACCAAAACTCGCAGCCGACTGTCACCCAAAAGGCTTGACAAAATTCTTTTTTTAGGCGATTGTGCAGAGGAGGAAAGGAATATATAACTTAACATAATTTCATTGTACTATGTAATAATTGAAAATTTACTTGTAACTTTTACTTTTTAATTAAAAAAACATGAAATATATCCTAGATTTAATAAACATTTCATCCAAATATAAATACCCGATACCTTGCAACATCGATGCTTTTGATTTGATATTTTTATAAGTACGATGCTTTTCTTTTGATGCTTCTTATGAGTACATGATCGATACTTTGCATTCGATATCGTGTCCCTAGTCGTAGGCTTGCTCCATGGCGTGCAGAAGGCTTCAAGGTGTGCACTCTTACTATGCTCGTCACTAGCTCGCCGGATTGTCGGGGTTCTTCTTCACCTATTCTGCACTATTGCACCCTAACACACTTTAGCTATTTTGAGCTTCAGAATCTATATTTCGAAAGTGTTGTATTAAATCAATGCGGCGACACGCAATATTAATATGGTAAACTTAACCACGAACTTAACTCACAGAGAGACAATAGGTGTTGGTCGTCCCTCGTCTCTACCCACCCTATCATGACAATACTGTAATTAAGTTGTATCGTCCCAATTCAAATCCTTAAAGAACTATGTCACATCTTACGCGATCCTGGCATGGATAGTCGACAAAGAAAACTTAAGAATCCATATTCATTTCCGACTGCTCGACTAGGAGATACCCTGAACCCTCTAAGCTGATATTCTACTCATTCTGCATACACAAGCATGTATAATCATAGTCAGCAGAGGGCGTGCTGACTGTGCAGTAAGCAGCGACTGCGCTGTATGTGTACACTCCAAAGCACAAGTCACTAGTACTTGAAATACGTTTTTTATAAATTGGGGGCGAAGGGGGCGTATCGATCAATTGTATATACACAGTAAATCTGAAATCTCTAGGTTTAAAAGAGTTCAAATTAGGCTGAAAAAACAAAGTCGGTTTTTTTGAGAATTCTCGATAAAAAAGTTATCGGATGAGTTATCGAAAAAATAAGATAAACTTGTATTGCCTATGGTATACACGAGTATGCATGCCAAATTCTCTCTAGCTCTTATATCTTCTGAGATCGGCTTGCTTATACGGACGGACAGACGGACAGGGATATATATATAATATATTAGAGAGCTGCATGGCCGCACTCATAACCTAGCAAAATAGAGTGCACTCGAATTGAGACTGAGTGACTTGATTGAGTTTGAGATCGCATGCACTCAATATCTCTTGTCTCCAACCCTTTAGTAAAAACAAAGAGAATAAATAAGACGTAAGGAGCAATACAACAGTTAACCAAAGAATTTTTGCGTCGAGGCACTCGAGTTTTTGAATGCATATATCTTCGTATCAACACTTCGTATTTGCTCGGCTCTGTCGCTTGAGGTTCGAGCAGTGAAAAAATCTCACCCCAAGATTAGTGCGCTTCGAGCGTTCAAGCGTAAAGCACGCATTTCAATAAGAAGCCTGATTGTGCGCTTATTTTTTCTTAATCTGTCTCTTTCTATGCCCTTTCCATTTAGAGGGTATATCAAGCTCTTGAAAGGGGTTGGCCATGCTCATGCAAAATGTTAGCGTTTTCATGACATTATCTTATGTATCTACTAATCCTGACAACTTAAATAAAATGATTCCAAATTTTAATATTAATTAAACATATACAAACATATCTATATTGTATAACAAAATGACATTGCCTTTCGTTTGCTCGTTATTTGTGGGGAGGGTATGAAAACGTTGTTACGCATAAAGAATATTTCTTCGCTACCAAATTGTAACGGTAAATTTGCCGTCGGTCGGCTATTTGGTCTGCACCTACACAATTCCATTCGGGTTTTTAAAATTTTTTTTTCTCTCTGCAAACTGCGACGCGACTCATATACTCATCGAAGCACTTCATATACTCGGGCTCAAGACATGTATTCTTTGTCGCTCAATACAATATTGTGCGCAGTGTTGCCGTTTTTCCCCGACAAAAAATAGCTGAATCAGGACAAAAAATAAGCAAAAACAAGTAAGAAAGCTCTAGTCGAGACTGCTCGACTACGAGATACCCTGAACCCTCTAATTTGATATACTAATCACTCTGCACTTCTTTTCGGCATACATACATACACACGCACGTATTAGAACGCGCTCTGCTAACTCCGCAGTAAGCAGTGACTGCGCTTGGGGTGCGCTGCAGTGTGGGCAACATTATAAGAATTTATTTGTTGAATAATTTAATTTCTGGACGTACAATCTTAATGAAACTTTCAGAGCGTAATTATATGGTGAAAATGTTTGTACATTCCAAAGCACACGTCTCTAGTACTTGAAATACGCCTTTTACAAAGGTGATGGTGAGGGGGTGGATATAAGGGTGGGGGGTAAATTACAACGAAAATCGAAATTATATAAAATATATATAAGTCTACATTTAAAACTTGCAAGCTCTAGCTCTAAAGGTGTAGGAGATATAATTAAATAACTAGCTTTCGATAAGGTTTTTAATCGATAATAAAATATCGGGAGAGGTTATCGATATAAAAAGAAAAACTTGATATGCGCGTGATACACACGGACCTAGGAAACAAATTTCTCTAACTCTTATATCTTCTGAGATCGACGCGTTCATACATACGGACGGACGGACGGACAGACAAACGGACAGGGCCAAATCGACTCAGCTCGTCGCCCTGATCAAGAATATATATACTTTGTGGGGTCTGCCACGCCTCCTTCTGCCTGTTACATACATTTCAACAAAACCATTATACCCTGATTTCCCATTTTCAATGGGTTCAGGGTATAGCAAGTAAGAAAGCTCTAGTCGAGACTGCTCGACTACGAGATCCCCTGAGCCCTTGGAGCAATAGATATTTCAATAATTTTTCGCGTCTTTCAGCTTACACAAGAAACACGCACACACACACACACACACACACACACACACACACACGCACGTACGCACACACAGGCATACATACACACACACGCATACAGACACAAACGCATACACACACTCACATACACACACACATACACAAACACATACACACACATACAAAAACACATACACACACAAGCACCCACGCATAAACACGCATGGGTTGCAGTGTGCGCTTACTATGAGAACATAATTGTTTAATAACTTTTATGGACGTACGATCTTCATGAAACTTTCAGATTATGATTATAACATGAATATGCATGTAATTGCCAAAGCACAAGTCTCTAGTATTTGAAATACGCTTTTTACAAAAGTGAGGGTGAGGGGGTGAATTTAGAGGTGGGGGTACATTTTAACAAAAACCGAAATTGTATAAATTGCATATACGCATACATTAAAAATTTGGAGACTCTAGCAATAAAGGTGTAGAAGATATAATTTTATAACTAGTTTTCGATAAGGTTTTTATCGATAAAAAAAGATCGGGATGAGTTATCTATTTTTAATGATAAACTTGATATGCGCGCTTACGGACATTTAAAAAAAAAATTTGAGGTCTCTAGCTCTTATATCTTCTGAAATCGACGCGTTCATACATACGGACAGACGGACAGACGGACAGAGCCAAATCAACTCAGCTCGTCGCCCTGATCAAGAATATATATACTTTGTGGGGTCTGCCACGCCTCCTTCTCCCTGTTACATACATTTCAACAAAACCATTATACCCTGGTTTCCCATTGAAAATGGGTTCAGGGTATAAAAATGAAAACACGTGTAGACATTAATGTAATATATTGCACGAAATAGCCATGCAAAAGTTTGCGTGCAAAACAAAAATTGATTGAAGCAAGTAATTTGCATGCAATATTTGCATTGGTGTGAACATTTGTGCAAACTTTTGCTGCAAATTATTTTGAACTTGCTGCAAATTGTTTGCATCGTGTGTACCTAGCTTAAGTCATAAACGATCGCACTCACATACTCATACAAGTTTCGTTTTGGCCTCGGTGCCACACATCTCAGTACGTTTACGATTTTTTTGGTACTCATGCAGCCCTCTATAATATATATATACATTATAGGGTCTGCAATGATTCCTTCTGCCTTTTACATACTTTTCACAAAACCATTATACCCTGATTTTCCATTTTCAAGGGGTTCGAAGGGGTAAAAACTACTCGAACAGTGAAAAGACCACCCCATTCTAAGACAGGGGCGTGATGGGGATATAGTAAGGTTTTCTTATCAATACCATCCTATACTTATGTGCTAATAACTTTTCTTACATTCTATTTATATTCAGTTACAATATTTCTTATTATCTACAAAATTTAATTTTAACTCTAGTGTTACATTTTCCTTTTTCGTTATAAATTTATAATTCTTTTATATTTGTTTTACTTCATTTTCTTTGTCTTTGTATAATTTGTATACTCATTTACGAAAGTGAATTATTATACTCATTCACGAAAGTGAATTAGTTACAATAGTTGCAATATCCGTGTTGCTGTCCGTCCGTCCGACTTGAAATTTGGAACACATAATCGTGAATATCATAATAATGCAATTCCCGATATACCAGAAATCATATTAGTTGAAGAGCTAGAAAGCTGAAATTTGGAATGTAAATCCGCGTCGACCACCCAAGATCACGAGCTATGGCGGATATATTTACGCCCATTGGCGCAAAAGTTTATATATCCTAAAGTATAAAAGCTAGAGCTTCAAATTTGGATAGTTAAGTTACTAGTAACTTCCTCAATCGATGATTCAAAAATAATATTTTTACGCCTCTTTAGGGGCGTGGCATATCGAAAAATACACTGTAATTTCCATTTTTGAGCGTAAGCATTCAAATTTTGTAGTTAGGGTACCGTTAGCTCGATCACTGACCAAAAATGAGGTGTCTACGCCCAGTAGTGGCGTGGCAAATAGGGGAAACCTGCACTTTATACAGTATTAGAGCTAAACTTAGCTAAATTGCTTATGGGGTGTGAATGAGTATTACGCAGTCGGTAACGTCCGACTGCAACGTTCATACTTGTTTTGTTTTATTTTATTTTTTTTTTAGAGAGCTTTATACTTTTTCCATATTTTTTTATTTAATTACTTTTGTATGAGTATATTTTAGTTCGATTTTAGAGAGCTTTATACCTTTTTATATTTTCAAATTTAATT